GAGGGTGACCTGATCAGATCTGAGCTTGGGCCTCATAGGAGCTTAGGTGCATGCTGGGAAATCACCAAGGAGTTGGGAGCAAAATCCAGGTGCAAGATGGTGACTGGACCAAGGCGAGGAGAGTGGCAATAGATAGGAGCAGTCTAATTCATAAGATATTTAGGAGATAATAGCAACATGACTTGGGGGCGAACTGGATATTTATCAGTCATTCAGGATTTATTGAGCACCTGCTATGTGCTGGGCTTGTTTTGGGCACTGGAAACAAGAGGAGAGAGAGTAGAGGTTGGTCAAGGATAGTGTTCTCACGCATGGCTTTTGTAAGTGGAAGACAATCATGGCATTCCTTGGGGACTCTTGGAAGAGGGCTGATTATGGAGGAGCAAATCATAAACCATTTTGGGAGTCTTGCATTTGAGGTCCCTGTGGGACATCCAGGTATCGATGTCAAGTAGGCAGGTGGATACACGGATGCAGAATTCATCTGAAAGCTCCAGGCTAGGCATAAATATCTTTAAGTCATCTGCATTTCAGTAGCAGCTGAAGCCATGACCTGGATGAAATCACCCAGCAGAACAAGTATCTTATGATGGTCAAGGAAGGAAGAATGGGTCAAAAAGGGAGACAAAAAGACCAACTAGAGAAGCGGAAGGAAAATCAAAAGTCTTATGACACAGAGGCTGAGGAAAGTGAACCTTTCAAGAGGGATGTGGTCAGCTATGTCAAATGCTGCCTGATTGCCCAAGGTCATCCAGCTAATGAGTGGCGGGGCTGAAATTCAAAAGCCAGATCTAGCTATTTAATAAACAGTGCCAGGACAAATGGCTAGCCATTTGGAAACAAAATTAAACCCTTACCTCACACCACATGCAATGATAAATTCTAGCCGAGGTAGAAGTCTAAAAGTAAAAACACAAGATAACAATATTTTTTTAAATAGAAAAAGTCTTACAATCTTGGCATGTTAAGGTCTTCTTAAGGCAGGACAGGAAACACAGAAACCATAAAAGAAAGAAATAATTTTTTAAAAATAAACTAGAGGAAAATGTTTGTAGCACATTTGACAGACAGTGTTAATATTCCCCATATACAACGACCCAACAGGAAAATTGAGAGTCAAAGAGATGAGCAGACAGTTCACAGAAGATCAGTGCAAACAGCCATAAATATGTAAAGAGACAACCACCTCTCTGATGCTTGAAGAAATGCAAATAAAACAATAATGAGACATCATTCCTTGGACGGTAAAGCATTTTAAAACTGATTCCATTACAAGGGAAAAGAAATACTAAAACTTTTTTAGTATGATATTTGGCAATATCTATTAAAAATTTTTTTTAAGATTTTATTTATTTGACAGAGAGAGAGACAGCGAGAGAGGGAACACAAGCAGGGGGAGTGGGAGAGGGAGAAGCAGGCTTCCCGCGGAGCAGGGAGCCAGATGTGGGGCTCCATCCCACGACCCTGGCATCATTACCCGAGCCGAAGGCAGATGCTTAATGACTGAGCCACCCAGGCGCCCCTCTATTAAAATTTTTAATGTAGCTCTATTTCCTGATCTGGGTGCTGGATGCATGGTGTATTTGTGGTGTGAAAATTAACACAGTTCTTCACTCTATTAATTCTATAAACTCTATTTAAAAAGTACACTTGCACATTTTTCTATATGTATGTTATTCCTTAATGCTTTCAAAAAGAAAAGAGACACAAAATGTACATACCCAAAGACTCAACAATCCCAGTTATGGGATTCTTTTCTTCATTTTGCAAATTGATAACGAAAAGGTAAACAACCCATTTTATTTTTTTAAGATTTTTTTTCTTAAGGCATCTCTACACTCAATGGGGGGCTTGAACTCACAACCCTGAGATCAAGAGGCTTGCGGCTCCACTGACTGAGCCAGACAGGCACCTCCAGCCCAATTTTTTTCAAAAATGGACAATGGGGGCACCTGGGTGGCTCAATCAGTTAAGCGTCTGCCTTCGGCTCAGGTCATGATCCCAGGGTCCTGGGATCGAGCCCCGCATCAGGCTCCCTGCTCAGCGGGAAGCCTGCTTCTCCCTCTGCCTGCCACTTCCCCTGCTTGTGCTCTCTCTCTCTCTCTCAAATAAATAAATAAAAATATTTTTAAAAAAATGGACAGTGGACATGACAGGCAATCAATAGAAGACAAATCCAAGTGGGCAGAAAACATAGGGGGAAAAAAAATCTCCTGAGTGGTCATAAAAATGCCAGTTAAAATTACAGAGATATCGCTTTACACCCATAAATTTAAGAGGTGATAATGCCCACTTCTGGGGTGCATGGGGGGTTCCAATACTTTACTGGTAGAAATATGAATTGTTAACAGCCTCTGGCGGAAAACAATCTGGTAGTAACTATTAAATATGTAGAGTCTTTGACCTAGAAAGTCTGTATTTATCAATTATAAGTGCTCCAGTATGGATGGCTGGATGGCTGATAATATTTTGTGCAGCAGGGGGATGGGATGAAGAACAGCAAAGCTTCAAAAAAAAGCAAAGATTCTGTCAAAATGGCAAGCCTATACCATGAAATACTATGTGACTATTATGAAGATTCAGTTAGAATTAGTTGTGTTCACCTAGAGAGAGGCACATGGGATAGGAGGTCACGAAAGGCAAAGTGATGTGTGTGATTTGATTTTGTTATTAAAAAAATATATATAGGGGCAGCTGGCTGGCTCAGTCAGTAGAGCATGAGACTGTTGAGCTCCTGATCTCAGGGTTGTGAGTTCAAGCCCCACGTTGGGTGTAGAGATTCCTTAAAAACAAAAAAACTCGAAAAAGATAATAAAATAATTACTTAAAAACTAAAAAATAGGGACACCTGGGAGGCTCAGTCGGTTAAGCGTCTGTCTTCGGCTCAGGTCATGGTCCCAGAGTCCTGGGATAGAGTCCCGCATCAGGCTCCCTGCTCTGCAGGGAGCCTGCTTCTCCCTCTGCCTCTGTCTCTCATGAATAAATAAATAAAATCTTTAAAAAAAAAAAACTAAAAAAAAAATGTATACAGTCTTACATGTGTTTGTAGGAAGCAGACCATGATTTAGAACTCCATCTCTGGGTTCCTGGAAGCCTGTGGTAGTTACTACCAGATTGTTTTCCGCCAGAGGCTGTTAACAATTCATATTTCTACCAGTAAAGTATTGGAACCCCCATGCACCCCAGCATCCCCACCTTCTCCCCATATGTGATAACCTCTCTGGGCCTCAGTTTTCTTGACTATAAAAGGGGTTAATAATATCTATCTCACAGACCCGTTGGAAGCATGTGAAGTGAAAAGGTGCTTAGCGATGCCTGGTGTGTCATTCCAGATCACAGATGTAAGCATGATCTCCGGAGCATGGACATCACCTTGGAGGAAATCATGCCACACTGTTAGTGAGTGCTAGCAAACAGAGCCCGAGGGGAGTGGGACACAGGGGGTTAACATTTTGTATCAGTTTGACTGGTTATTGAGTCCCAGTGGCCCTTATGTGGCACCAGGTGCCAACCTCTTGGAAGGGCTCGACTTTATCCACCCCCTTAATTCCTTAGTTCACATCAGCCTTCTGAGTCAGGTACTTTATATTATTATCCCCGTTTTGTAGGTGGGGAAAACTGAGGTACAGAAAGCTCACTTGCAGGAGCTCACACGCTGGAATGGGGCCAGAATTCAAATGCAGGCAGCCTGGTTCTGAATCCAGGCTGTGGACCACCAGGCCCTACTATGTCCCCCTCTCCCTGCCTCAGTTTACTCGACTGCAAAATGGGCTTCCCACCACTCAACATCTTCAGTTTGCTGCAAGGGTTAAGCGACCTCGGGCTTGGGCCTGGGAGAAGTGGTTTTAAAATAGGAGCTTTTGATTCTTTTTTTTTTTTTTAAGATTTTATTTATTTATTTGAGAGAGAGAGAATGAGAGAGAACACATGAGAGGGGATAGGGTCAGAGGGCAAAGCAGACTCCCTGCTGAGCAGGGAGCCCGATGCGGGACTCGATCCAGGGACTCCAGGATCATGACCTGAGCCTAAGGCAGTCGCTTAACCAACTGAGCCACCCAGGCGCCCGGAGCTTTTGATTCTTAAATACAGAGATCAAACTGGCAAGAGGGGAGGTGGATGAAATAGATAAAGGGGATTAAGAGGGGGCGCCTGGGTGGCTCAGTTGGTTAAGCCACTGCCTTCGGCTCAGGTCATGATCCTGGAGTCCCGGGATCGAGTCCCACATCAGGCTCCCTGCTCGGCAGGGAGTCTGCTTCTCCCTCTGACCCTCCCCCTTCTCATGCTCTCTCTATCTCATTCTCTCTCTCAAATAAATAAATAGAATCTTTAAAAAAAAGGGGGGGGATTAAGAGGTACAAACTTCCAGTTATAAAATAAGTCACAGGGATGAAAAGTACAGCATAGGGAATGTAGTCAACAAGATCACTACTGCATTGTTTGGGGACATTTGGGGGCCACACTTATCACGGTGAGCACTAAGTAATGTACAGAACTGTCGAATCACTATGTTGTACACCTGAAAATAACATAAAGCTGTATGTTAATTACACTTCAATTTAAAAAAAAAAGCGGGGGGGGGGGCTTTTGTTACCCTGGTCCCTCCAGGAGAAGGACAGAGGAGGCTCAGGCCCCCAGCCCCTGTGTTAATGTTCCCAGTGAGTTGTTCAAAGCCCCACTGAAAGGAGAGACAAAGCTGGGCAGGGCGCCAGGCCCTTGCTCTTCCAGAAACCACAGGGCGAGATGGCCAGAGGCCTGTGCAACCCTCCCCACCCTGACTCTCAGCTAGGAGAGAGTCCCCTTGGCTTTGCCATGGGCTCCCCACTTCCCCACCTCACCACACCGCATCCTGTTGCAGTCCTGCCAGAGAAGGAAGCGGAATCTGGGGTCCAGTGTGACCTGCCTGTCCCGCCAGGGTGTGAAGCAAGGCCCTCCCCACCGCCCGGCCCCAGCAGATAAAGGTGGCCTCGGCCCGCGGCGAACTCCTAGCCGTCCCTGCGGGCCTCACCTGCCATGCCCGCCCCTTGCGCGCTGCTCGCCTGGGCCCTCCTGGCTCTCCTCGGACTTGGGCTCGGAAGGCCTAGAGAAGAATCCCCAAACCTCTGCTGCCCCATAGTGCCCCGGAGAGAGTGGAGGGCCCCGGCGTCCAAGTGTTCCAAGAAGTTGAGACTGCCCGTGCGCTACGTGGTGGTGTCACACACGGCCGGCAGCCCCTGCGACTGCCCGGCCTCGTGCCTGCAGCAGACCCAGAACGTGCACAACTACCACTCGGGGACGCTGAACTGGTGTGACGTGGGCTACAAGTGAGTGCGGAGCGGAGGCAAAGGCCGGTGCCCCAGCGGGTGGAGGGAAATGTGTGGAGGCCTGAGGGACCCCCGGCAGGTCTAGAGCCCCCTGGCCGCCAGTCCTCGCAGCTTGCTTTCTCCCCAGGGCGGGCACCCAGGACTGCGCATGTGCGCGCGGCACGCAGGTGCTAGGAAGAAGGGAAAGGGCTGAAGTCCAAGCCCTGCTCCCTGGAGGAAGGGACAGACTACCAGCACAAAAGAAAGAGTCCTCTACACTGGAGTCCCTTCGTAAAGTCTGCCGCCTCTGTTGGGAAGCAGACAAGCAGGCGGGTTCAGCGTGGGGGTCGGGTGGGGTCCAGTCTCAGCTCTGCTTGTTGCTGGCTGAGACCTGGGGCAGGGTCACGAACGCTCTCCCCACTTTGGTTTCCTCTCCCTCCTCTGCCCCCACCAGGTCACTAAATCAGCCAATACATACATGCAAAGCCCTTAGGGCACCACCTGGCATGCAGTGGGAACCCCCAAGTTCATGGGCTCTTGCCCTTAGGCACTTATTATGTGCCAGGCCCTGCCCGGGTGCTGGGATGGGGGAGGCATGAACAGTGCGAATCTGGCCCAATGGGATTTAAAGACCAACGGGGAAGAACAGGTGGGAAACAAGCAAAGGAAACCAGATGAATTCAGAGGGTGATAGAAGCAATAGGGCGGGGCGGTGGGGGGGGGGGACTCCGGTGGCTCTGGGATGGGGGGCTGCGGCAAGAGTGGTAAGCTGAGGGTCCAGCAGGGGTAAAAGCTATGAGGGCAAGTGAGAGGGTCACGCCTGAAGGACAGAGGTCAGGATGGCTGGAGGGAGCTGGGAGGAGTGACATGAAACGAGGAGGACCGGATCGGCAGGGCCTTGTGGACCACGGTAAGGAAGACAGGAGCCGGGGGAGGGATGTGAGCCTGCTAGGTGGAAGCAGCTCCCCCTGGCGGCTGTGGGGAGAACAGCCTGCGGGTGGGTGACGGCAGAAAACAAAAGGACTGCGAAGATCTGCATCTGGGGGCCGTGCCCCCCAGCTCCCTTTCCGGGGTAACAGGCCGCGGCCCCATACAAGGGCTTCCGCAGCGAGTGAACTTTGAACCCTACAGGTTCTCAGACCTTGGTAAACACCAGTCACCGTACTGGAAATCCAGGTTCCCGGGTTCCGCCCTTAGAGATGGCTTCCAATAGGGGTAGGGTGAAGCTCGGGAAGCCGATGACCTCATTGGAAGTCTAGACGCCTCCGAGGGTATCCCCAGCTCTTCTGGCTCAAGCTTTTACATTTCAAAGGCTCCAACTTCAAGGCTTTGTCTCCAAGACTCAGGTGCTCAGATGCTAAGGGTTTCCATGAGGTAGTGAAGACAAAGCTTGGCTCCCCAGCCTCTGACCTCAATCGCCTTATAGAAAAGCAGACTGAAGTCTGTTTCTCAGATTTTAGGATTTAGAGTCTGATCCCAACATTCTGGATCTTCCTTCTTGTCACATCACATTCTGAGTCTCAGTATCTTTACTTATAAAAAGGTTCTTCACTCGACCCACCTAGTGGTGGTGGAGGTTTAAACTAGATGCTTCCATTTCACAAATACACAGGGAGTCCCAACTGCCTGTGCCAGGTGTTGGGGCTGTGATAAAGCCATAAGCAGCCCAGTCCTGGGGGCCAGCATCACCATGGAATTTCTAGTCTCTTCAGAGCCAGATTCTGATTCGGGCTTCCTGCGTGGGAGATTCAGGACCCAAAGATTCTTAAGTTCCAACATTCTTTACGTCCTTGGTGACTGTGAGAGCAAGAGGGCAGAGGCAGCAGATCTTGAAACTCCAAAGTGCTGATCTTCTAGTTATTTCCAATGTGCCAAATCAGACTCGCTCCATCAAGGCGTGTCAAATGAGTCTTAAGGATCTGATGCCAGGACTGGAAACTTCCAAGAGGCAGATGCTGGGACTCCAGAGTCTGTATCTGGTTATGATGCCAATCCTTGAGTCCTAGATCCTGTCACTCAGTGTACCCCAGCAGGGAACAGAAAGCAGGAAGCAGGCTGGGCCAAGGGCAGAAAAGCTTCTCAGAGGACAGTTCGGAGAGGCAGGGGTCTATGGGGCATGACCTTGGGGACAACAGCGGCTCCTGCCCCAGAGCATGAGGGCATTCAGCAAATCAAGAGCTCAACAAATCCTCCCAGGAGGCTGGAGGAAGCAAGGAGTAGGATCACGTGAATGGGAGTTCCAGGGACCCGGGTGAGAATCCGGACTCTGTTCCTGTCTGGCTGTGTTGTGTGACTGTGGGCAGACGTCCCCACCTCTCTGATGCTCCACCTGCAGAATGGGGGCAGTACTAACTCATGGGTGGCCGTGAGGGTGTAGTGCTGTGCCTGGCACGTGGCAGGGGCCAGAGGCATTGGATGACAGAAGAGGGAAGTGTTGGGGGAAATTGTGTGTGAGTAGCAGGGGGCAGGGGAGGGGGTGGCATGCCCTCCCTTACTCATCAAGCCCACCCCACCCCCACCCACACAGCTTTCTGATCGGAGAAGATGGGCTCGTGTATGAGGGCCGGGGCTGGGACACCAAGGGCGATCACACAGGCCCCACCTGGAACCCCATCTCCATTGGCATCTCCTTCATGGGTAACTACATGGGTAAGTGTCCAGCTGTTGGCATGGAGGGCCGACCTGGGGTCTGGGGGATGGCGCCGCACGGTATGTAGTCCTTGGGAGGCTCTGCCACTTCCAAGCTCTGTGACATTGGGCAAGTTGAGTCGGCTTCCCCAAGCCTCATCTCCTCCTTTGGATAATGACCATTTCTTTGCAACTGCCTGGTTTGGGCCAGGATGAGTTAATCTGCATAAAAGTTCTTCGGCCAGTCCATGATAAACAGCCACCATCATGAGTAGGACCCAGAGGTCTGGGGGCAGAGGAGGGAGGATGAGCTCTAATCTTGACACCTGCTGAGGGTTTAACCTGTGCCAGGCACTGTTCTGTGATGGCTTTATGTAAAAGAACTCGTTTTCTTGTCCCACAGCCCTGTGGGCAGGTGCCATCATTCTCTCCTTTCGCAGATGAGGAAACTGAGGCACAGCAGGGTTAAGTTCCTGCTAGGGGACTGGCAGACCCGGTTCTGGGCCCCAGGGGGGCAGGGTGCACAGCTGGAAACACTAGCCCACACTACCTCTGTCCCTCAAGGAAGCCCTAGCCTAACTCCTGCGTCTGTCTCCCCCAGAGCGGTCACCTCCACCCCGGGCCCTCAGGGCGGCCCAGAGTCTGCTAGCTTGCGGTGTGGCTCAGGGAAAACTGAGCCCCAGATACGAGGTCAAGGGACACAGGGACGTGCAGCGCACACTCTCTCCAGGCGACCAACTCTATGAGATCATCCAGACTTGGCCACACTACCACGAGTGACACCCTATCTCCTCCACACCTGGAAACCCCACCGCCTCCCCTCCAATCAAGGTGCAGCTCAAACTGTGTTCCTGTGTCCCACCACATGCCTCCCCTCCCTCTCTACCTCCCACAAGACCCCAGCCAGTCCCACCCGCCCCGGGCCCAGCACTCTGTCCTCGCTGGTACTCAGAATCCAGAGGCCCCAACCCTAAACCAAGACCCCAGAGAGCCCAGCTTGTAAGGAACATCACAGCTCAGAACCCAGGTCTCGGGCCAGAGCGCAGGAATCAGCACCAAGATGGCCCAGATGTCACTGACGGCAGCTCAGGGCCGTGAACCATGCTCCAAGACACCCCTTCTCTACCGCTCGGCCAAAGATACCCTGTGCCACATCTCTGCTTGGACCCCTTTGGGGTTGAGCTGCTCACTCCCACCCCTCAGGTCCACCCCATTCATTGCTTTAGAGAGTATGCAAGTTTCTCCTGACTCTGAACCCTAAAGTGCCTCCCAGTCAGAGACATGCCCAGAAATACACCAGGTCCCAATTACGGCCACCACCCAGTCCTCATTTCTCCCCACTCCAGCCCTACCCTTTAGTCATAAGCTGAAGGAGCCCAACAGCAAATAGTTTATTTACAAAATGCACATACCTTCCCTCCCAGCATGCAGTGCATGACGGGGGGGGGGGGGGCCAAGGCCTCACACACCTGAAACCCCGGTAGCACCAGCAGGAGAGGAGCCTGAGCAGGGCTGCCCGCCCCCCCACTCCGAATCCAGCAGTGGGTGAGGGATGGAGGGGCAGTACTCCAGGTCGAGGTCACGACCGTGTGTCCAGTTGGTTCATATACTCCTGCAAGGCCTTCAGGCGGGCATCTATTTCGGCCATGTCTGCTGCCTGGTGGTCGGAGCTGTACTCTGAGAGTGGGTGTGGGTGCAAGGGCTGTGAGGGCCCAATACGCTGCCCTTGGGCTGGGGAGGGCGGTAAGGGAGAGGGAGATGTGGAGTCCCAGGCTCACCTTTCATAGGGACCCAGCCCCCCGAATTGGTCAGGCATCTCTGATGGCGGCTGCGTTCCACAGGGGTGGGCTTCTGCTGCTGGGGGAGACAGGAAGAGGGGGTTAGGTATCCTCCCTCTATTCCTGTCCCCCAGATCCCACTGGAAATTTTGAACCTAAGGACCTCAAAGAACAAGCGCTGACGCCCACTGGGCACTTACTAGATGCAAAATCACCTCCTGGTATCTCCACCAGAACCCTCTAAGATGAATACTATTACCACCCCCATTCAACTGATTAAGAGACTGAGGCTGAGAACTAGCGTGAGCCACACAGGTGACAGGAAGGCGGGGCCAGGTTTTAAGAGCTGGCACTTTGAGGCCAGGGCTGGTGCCCTTAGCTGGTATCATCTACCCCACCCCACCCCCACACTCCGCTCCAATCCAATGGTCTCAAAACATTCTGCGTCCAGACGCATTTCAAGAGACACCTCTGCGGGGCGCCTGGGTGGCTCAGTCGTTAAGCATCTGCCTTTGGCTCAGGTCATGGTCCCAGGGTCCTGGGATCGAGCCCCGCATCAGGCTCCCTGCTCGGCGGGGAGCCTGCTTCTCCCTCTCCCACTCCCCCTGCTTGTGCTCCCTCTCTTGCTGTGTCTGTCTGTCAAATAAATAAAATCTTTAAAAAAAAAGACACCTCTGCAACCTGAGTCCCCCAGAATGGAATCATGGGCTTTTGGTGGCTTCATGCTGCCCCTACCTCCTCCATGGTCTGGGGAAATACACTCACCGTGTTGGACCCGCCCCAGGTGGTGGGGCTGGGAGGCTTCCCGCGGCGGCGAACGCTGACAGGAGAGAGTGTTGAGGCACTAGCGGGAGGAGCCTTGGGCACCTCCCACCTCGCCCTCCCCGGTGGTTCAAGGCTCCCGCCTCCATCACCCAACCTCCCTGCAAAAGACTGTTTCCAGCCTCCCCAGACCCCCGGTTGGAGGTGGTCCTCTCCTCGCGCCCAAGTTTTACCCCCTAGGAAGGGAATCGGAGAAATCCTCCAACTCGCTGCAGGAGCCGGCGGATGAGCAGCGGCTGCGGAAACTGTCCACTAGACGGGGGAGGAGAGAGTGAGCCTCCCGCGCTCGCCGGGGCGCCCAGCCCGCCCCGCGCGCTACAGCCCAAGTTACCCGAGGAGCTGCGGTTTCGCGAGCGGTTAGCCGCGTCCCCTCGGCCGCTCACGGCAGCGGGGGGCCGAGTCTGGCGAGACCAGGAGATGGACGGGCCGTCCCCGCTTCCTCCGCTGCCCAATCGGTTCCGCTGCTGCTGCTGCCTGGGGAGCGGAGAAGGAGACACCCACCTGTGTGCCCAGCTAATGCTAGGAATGGCGTCGCTGGGCCCCTATGGGCACAGCTGAGGTCACATAAGAAAGGGAAGGAAAAGGCCTGCGCACACACAGACCGGGTGGTGGGGGTCAGGGGAGGAGGTGGAGGTCAGGTGAAAAGCAGGCGCAGGGAAAGGGAGATGGGGCAGGTGACTGATGACGGAGACAGATGGGAGACGGGGATGGATGAGAGCACAGGTCGGGGGGCCAGTTAAAGGCGCAGGGATATGGGCACGTAAGGGGGAAATGGGCGCTAACTTCATCTTGATCTCTCTCTGCTTCTTCTCCTTGGCTTTCACAAAGGCTGTGGGGTCGAAACGGGGCACGCGACTACCTAGGATGGGGTGGGAGAGTGAGGAGAGAAGAGGCTGGGGTCACAGGAGCACGCCTCCACAGCTCCAGTCCACCCCCCACCCTCCCACGGGCAGGACAGGGCAGAGACCTGTGGGCGAGGGTGAGGGGCGGGCAGGGCGGCCTCGACTCCGGCCCCCCCGGCCGCTCTCCCGGGAAGAAGAGCGGGTGGCACCGCGACCGCGCGATGTGGAGCGCTCCCGCGACGTCGAAGCCCGATCCTCCCGGGCTCGGGGCGGCGGCACGGGCGGAGTCCGTCTCCTGGAGCACAGGGCCCACTGTCAGTTTCCCGCCGGCCAGCTCCTATGTCAACTCCTATCTCAAGCCTCTTCTCGGATCACACCATCTCCGAACCTTCAGGTCCACCCCACCAACTCCTAGACACTCACGCCCTTGCATATGACCCTCACAGGTACCTTGTCCCAGGCTCCGCCCCTCTCGGAGCCCCAGAGAACCCCCCCAAAAGAAACTGTCACTTCCCTACATCCGAACAAACCCCCTTCACCGGACCCTTCTTCCTGAGGTCCCCCACAGCTCCCTAGAAATCCTTCCCAATATTCCATCACCCACCCCAATAAATAACACTGGACGTCAACCAGATCCCCACCAGTTGGGCCACGCCTTTTCGCTCTACAAGATCCTCAGGTCCCACCCCTTCCCCCCCCCTTATCTCCAGCCCTTCCTCCTGACTGACGCTTCAAGCGCCGCCTGCAGTGTCCAACTTTCCGCCCCATGCAGTCCATCAGATTCCTTCCACCCCTCCATCCCCACCCACTCGCAGCCTCCCCTCCATTCAGGCCCCGCCCTCCCACCCAACAGACTGCACCTACTCCCCAGGCCCCGCCCCTCCCACCCCCCCAGCCCCGCAGCAGCCGGGTCGCAGCTCCGAGCACCCCCCCCCCCCCCCCGCTGCGGCCTCGTCTCTCACCCCCTCTTGTACACCTCCAGCTCGGTGTTCACGGTCCTAAGCCGGGCGCGCAGGCTCCGCTCCGAAGCCTTCACCTCCTCGAGCTGCCAGGAGTGAACAGGGGCAGAGAGGACCACACGGAGGCCGAGGTCCACGCCCCACCGGTCACCCCCGCCGGCCGCCCCGCCCCCTCACCTCCTGGGCCAGGCGCCGGCAATCCTGGCTGCGGCGGCCAACCCCGCGGTGTCCAAGGCCCCGCCCTTGCCGCAGCTCCAGCTCCAGGCCCCTGACGAGCCCACGCAGCGCCTCGGCCTCCTGGCGCGCAGCCCTCCCTGCCAGAGCCTCCTCTCGAGATTGGCCCAGCTGCGCCTCCAGTTCTCGCTTCTCAGATGCCAGGCGTGAAACCCTGGGGGAAGTGGGTAGAGGGAAGACAAGAGTCGGGAGGGGGTCTCTCAGGATCCCATCATTCTCACTTCTCCATGGGGTGGGCACGAACCATTTCACCTGCTCCAGGAACAGGGAAATGCAGCCCCACCACTCCAGCTGCCCCTGTGGTCCCATCATCTCTCCTCCTCCATCTCTCCCACATGAGGAGGAACACGGCCACATCACTCTCATTCATCCCACGGGGAGGACACAGCCCTGCGAATTCCAATTCCAAAATAAATCATAAATCTGTCCTTCTCTATACCCTGAACGCCTAGCCCTGAAGTCCTGGCTTTAGACTCCCCCCAGGCCTCCCAGCCAAGTCTCACTACCTCCTAATCACCAGAAGGCTCTAAAATGCAAATCCAATGGGGAACCTAGGTGGTTCAGTTGGTTGGGCTTCCTATTCTTGATTTTGGCTCAGGTCATGGGTCCTGAGACTGAGCCCCACATGGAGGCCCCATCGGGCTCCACGCGCAGCATGGGGTCTGCTTGTCCCTCCTCCCTCCCCTGCTTGTACTCTCTCACACACTCTCTCTCTAAAATAAATAAAAAAAAATAAAATAAAATAAAATGCAAATCCAATCAGATCCCCTACTATGCTCAAAACCTTCCTTGAAGAAAAGATGTACACAAAAGGCTATTCATTGCAACACTATTCGTAATAGCAAAAAGAGTAGAAATGACCAAAATGTATACCAACAGAAAATAAGTTGAATTTCTATGGTATATCCACTAAATGTCCTAGCCAATGCAATAAAATAAGAAAAAGGGGCACCTGGGTGGCTCAGTCATTAAACGTCTGCCTTCGGCTCAGGTGATGATCCCAGGGTCCTGGGATCGAGCCCCGCATCGGGCTCCCTGCTCTGCGGGAAGCCTGCTTCTCCCTCTCCCACTCCCCCTGCTTGTGTTCCCTCTCTCGCTGTGTCTCTCTCTGTCAAATAAATAAAATCTTAAAAAAAAAAAAAAGAATTAACAAAACAGTCATTTGCAGATGAAATGATTATAAATATTGATAATCAAAGGAAATCTACAAATTATAAGAAATAAGAAAACGGACCAAAGTTACCAGATACAAAATCAACATATAGATACAATTATATGAGTGGCTCAGTTAACCAACTGAGCGCCTGCCTTCGGCTCAGGTCATGATCTCAGGGTCCTGGGACTGAGCCCCGCATCAGGCTCCCTGCTCACTGGGGAGTCTGCTTCTCCCTCTGCCTCTGACGCTTCCCTCTGCTCCTGCTCTTTCCCTGTCTCTCAAATAAAAAAAAAAAAATCTTTTGAAAAAATTAAATAAATAAATACAATTATATAAACATCAACATGATTTATATTTAAAGTAAAGAAACCATTAGCCAAATTGTCCAAAGATGAAAAAAATCTAACAAAAGTAGGATGGGATAACATCATTGAGACATTAAATAAGACCGAAATAAGTGCAGAGGTACGTTGTTTGTATACTGGAATACTCACTGTTTATATAGATTTCAGCTTCCCCTAAATTACTCTATAGATTCAATGCAATACCAGTAAGTTTTGGAGTGCCTGGCTGGCTCAGTTAGTGGAGCATTTGACTCTTGGCATCAGTGTTATAAGTTCGAGCTTCATGTTGGGTGTATTTTTATTTAAAAAGAATAAAATCTCAATCCTATTATTAAAAAAAAAAATTCCAACAGGTTTTATGCTTTTGTATTGAAAAACCTATTGATTCTAGGGTGCCTGGGTGGCTCAGTCGTTAAGCGTCTGCCTTCGGCTCAGGTCATGATCCCAGGGTCCTGGGATCGAGCCCCACATCGGGCTCCCTGCTCAGTGGGAAGCCTGCTTCCCCCTCTCCCATTCCCCCTGCTTGTGTTCCTGCTCTCGCTGTCTGTCTCTCTGTCAAATAAATAAATAAAATCTTTAAAAAAAAAACAAACAAAACCTATTGATTCTAAAATTTATCAAGAAATGTGAATTTCCAAAAATAACCAAAAAAATTCTTAAAAGGGAAAAACAAAAGTCAGAAGACTTGCTCTACCCAGTATCAGCCTAATTATAAGCCTGCAATAATTTAACGGTGTGCTGCCAGCATAAGCATAGACAAACCAATGGACTACAGAGCACAGAACCTCACCTGATGGATGACACCTAAACATGCTTTGTGATAGAAGTGACAATGGCTAAGCAGTAGGGAAAGGATACTCTTTTTTTTTTTTTGTAAGATTTTATTTATTTGCGAGAGAGAGACAGAGATAGCGAGAGAGAGCACAAGCAGGGAGGAGAGGGAGAAGCAGGCTCCCCACTGAGCAGGGAGCCCGACGCGGGACTCGATCCCGGGGCTCCGGGATCATGACCTGAGCCGAAGGCAGTCGCCTAACCAACTGAGCCACCCAGGCGCCCCAAGGAAATGATACTCTTTTCAATAAATGTCACTGGGCTGATTGACTGGTAATGTGAAAAAACCATGAAAGGACACCTACCTCCCCCCAAATCAATTTCAGGTAGATTGTAGACATAAATGTGTAAAGCAAAAGACAAAAAACTATAGAAGATGATATAGGACAATATCTTCATGATACTGGGAGAAAGGGATTCTGAGAGAAGACATAAAAATGAGTAACTTCAGAGAAAAAATTTATAAATTAGTCTACATAAAATTAAGAACATCTGTTTATCAAAAGGCACTATTAAGAGAGTAAAAAGCCCAGCTAGAGAGGGCAAGGAGGTTTCTGAAATACATAAAATTAACAAAGGGCTCATATCCTGACTATATAAAGAGTTCCTGGAAGTCAGTAAGAAGTAGATGACAGAAGAAAAATAGACATGATCGGTGAATAGACAGCTCACAAAAGAGGAAATCCAAATGGCTACTAAATATATGAAAAACTGCTCAACCTCATTGGTAATTAGCATATAAAAAGTACCAAGAGATGCTGGGCTGATGGGACCTTAATAAGAAGGAACCAGGTCTCCACATCCGAACTCATCAGCCCCAACACCACCTGACAGTGAGCAAGCACAAAGCACCACCGAGGAAGGTGTCTTGCCAGAAACCTAAATCTGACCAGCCTATAGGTTTAACAACTACTTCACAGGAAATACAGGGACAGGGGAATACATTAACCATGGAGATAGAATGAAGTATTTAAGAGGGGATATGTCTGGGATTTGCTTCTCAGGCAGAGGGGAGTGTGTAGATCAAACAAGATGGGCAAAATGTAGGTAACCATTGAATCAGGGGCACAAGTACATGGGCATGATACTATTGTCTACTTTTGTGTGTTCTTGGAATTTTTCCTAATAAAACGCTTCTTAAAATCTGTGGCTCCCCTATATTCTCCAGGGAGCTTCCCATTCAGCCCCATCTAGCTGACTTCCCCCTTCCCTTCCTCTCCCCCCACCTTCCTCCCCAGCCAAGCTTCTCTTTGCAGATCCAAGTCCCTTCTCCTGGAACACTTTCTCTCACCCTTCAAACATCACATCCCCTGCCCCCAGCGAGGTTAGGTCACGTCCCTCTCTTCTCTGCTCTCGTGGCTCCCTGTACATTTCCTTCCTAGAGCTGGCACTTATCAGTGTGATTATCTGTTTTCTGTCTGAATCTTCACTCCAGCTGTCTGGTCACTGTGAGGGACCTGAGCTCTGTGGCCAGGCTGACTGTGTCTGACTCTACTCCACTTATTACAAGCTGGGTGACCTTATGCAGTTTGACCTCACATCTCTGCAAAGTGGGACGATAATAATAATAATACCTACCTATAAGGCTGTAAGAATCTATGAAGAGTGCTTGGACCATGTCTGGCACTGAGTAAGGGCTCAAGAAACATTAACTAGGGCCGGGCAGTGTGCCTGGGACACAGTATGAACCAGAAAAATGTTGGCTGGATGAATGAATGAATCTGGAGTCTTCCCAAATTCCCTCACTCCAGTTAGGAAGAGGAAGTTGGGAAAAGAAAGATAAGAAGCCACTGACCAGCTACAGGATCTCAAGCCACCCTCGCTAGTTCTGGTTGGTTCTGAAGGGCAAAGGGCGCCACGCTGTGGCCAGTCTGGGAAACACATACACCCCCACACACCGGAGAGTCCTGAGGATGAACTGAGGCTAAAGCTTATCCTGCTTCCCAGCAATGCACAGCCAAGCTCTTCCAGGAAGACCCACAAGGCTCTCCAGCTCCATAAGCTCCCACTCCTCCCTGTCAGCCCCAACACTCAGTCCTGGCCTAGGGGCCCAGCAGCTGCCAACAGAGCTCAGCAGCTAAAGGAAACAAACAACAATGCTATACTTGGTGCTGGCTGCTTGGATTCAAGGTCTAGCCTGGCCATATTACTCACTGTGTGACCTGGGGCAAATTCTCTAGCCTCTCTGGGCCTCAGTGTTCCTCCTCTGCAAAATGGGGACAACAATGCCCACCTTGCAAGGATTAAAGGAATGAAGTCATAAAGCACTGAGCAGAATCCCTGGCACACAGTGAAATGCTCAATAAATGTTAGCTGCTGTAATAATTATTATTGTTATTACTAAAAATATTGGGGCGCCTGGGTGGCTCAGTCGTTGAAGTGTTTGACTCTTGATCTCAGCTCAGGTCTTAATCTCAGGGTCATGAGTTCAAGCCCTGTGCTGGGCCCCAGTGTGGAGCCTACTTAAAAAAATAAAAAATAAAAACAAATAAAAATATTATTTGCTCCCCAATGGGTGGGGCCTCCTCCAGATGGGGATGGAATCCCTGATTCAGCACCCCACAGTGCATAGCACGCAGTAGGTACTCGGAAATGTGCCAAAAAGCCTTTGCTTTCTTCACTTTACTCTTCTAGTCCCCTTGTTTTCACCACGTCGGACCAAACACAAAGCCTTTGCACATGCTGTTCATTCTGCCTAGAACACTGTTCCCCACCCCCTTCACCTGACCTACCCCAAGACCCCATCAGGTTCCTACTGCAGCCTCCTATAGCACAGACCACCTTTTCTGCCTAACCCCATTTCTGGGGCAATGCTATACTCAGGTGGTTACGGGATCAACATCCACCTGCCCCCTGGCTGGGCCACTACGCGAAGGGCAAGGAGGGGCTCAATACAAAAGAGGCACTAGATAGAGCCCTACCTCCCATCCTGTCTTTATGCATGCGGCTCCCTCTGCCTACAACACCCCTCCCTTACCAGGCAGGCTCCAGTCTCCCCTCCGGGCTTCCCAAGCTCCACCCACTGTGAACTGTCGCTGTCTGCATACAGAGCTATGTTCCCCCACTGGACTGGGAGTCCCAGGAGGGTAGGGCCAGGACTGTCTCAGTCGCTGCTGTCCCCAGCACCACCCAGCGCAAGGCAGGCACAGAGGAGGGGTTCAGAATAAATATTTGGTGAATGAGGGACCACCATTTTCTCAGGAGTGCTGAGCACGGGGCCCTGCGGCGCCCAATAGGATGCCTCCCCCACCCAGCCCCAGCCACCTTCCCCTCCCAGACTCACTGCTCCCTCAGGTGCCAGATCTCAGTCTCCCGGGTGTCCCGAGCATCCTGGCCGTCCAGCCCTCGAAGGCGGCCCAGCTCCTCCTTCAGTGAGCGGATGATGCCCTGCAGGACCACAGGGTCTGGCTTGCCCTGGTACGGGAGGGGCAGCGGGTAGTGAATCCTGAGGAGGATTAGAACCGTGGCAGCTCAGAGGCCAAGAATCCACCCCAGGGTAGCTACCAGACCCTGAGAGCCTTCGAGTATGAAAACCCCCAATTCCAAAACCTCACGTTCCTAGAGGCGTACATTCCGAATGCAACTTCAAGCCCGCTCCCTGCTCCCCTACCCCTTGGCCAGCCGGCCATCCCTCAGACTCCCTTATCTAGCCATCTTGCATTGACAGGCCTGGTGCAGTTTGAACTGACTTGTAACATGGGTATCATGTTACCTGCCACCAAGCAAAGTTCTAATTCAGATTCCACAGGCATAGATTCTCAATGGCCTGACCTGTCTCACCTCTTGGCTAAGGAAAGATAGGGCACCTCGATTAACTGCACCACCAGATGCTGCTATGCATAGGGGACTGACAACTTCCCACTAGAAAATCCAGGTGCTATTATCAAATGGGGCAGATACCATCCCTGGTTACCCAAGAGCCATTCCCAGCTCTTTTTTGCCTTGCTGCCTCCCACTAAACAGGCTAAAAAAAGCCAGCTTGTCATTATCCTAGCATCCCCTGCATGTGACCGCTTGTGGCCAAGTATTAAGGAAACAGCCATAAGACCATTTCTGGCCAAATATTATAGGAAATCTGTTGGGCATCTTCTAGGAACACTTTTGTTTTCCTGATAAAAACGGTAGATGCCATTAGCCACTACAGCCCTGTTCTCTTCCTCTTGCTTTGATACAGAAGCAATGCCTGGAGGGCCAGCAGCCATTTTGTGACCATGAAGAGATAAGGATGGAGGTCAAAAGCCAACACATTAGGGATGACAAAAGGAAACAAAACAAAACAGAAGGAGCCTGAGTCCCTAATGAAACTTCTGGGTAGTAGCCTCCCACCTTGACATTTTGTTGTGTGATAAACTTGTTTGTTTAAAGCACTAGTAATAGTTACTCTGCTACTTACAGCCCAGCATGATACTAAATGATTCAAATCTCAACACTTAAGATTCCAAAGGCAACACCCCCACCCCCACCTCCACCCCCCGCCCGCCACCCCCCCTCACCCCAGCCCTCAGGGAGTTCCTGAGTTTGAACCACATCCCCTCCCACCTGCCCACCAGCCTGAGCCTGGAGCCAGTCCCTTATCCCCACCTGTCAAACTCCACAGAGTAGATGAGGATCAGGTAGCGTTTGGAGTTGAGCTGGGCCGATCTCGAGGCCAAGGGGCCCGGGCGGCCCCCCATCTTGCGATTCCGCAGGGACTCCAGATCTGTGTAGGTCAGCAGGTCAAGGGTGACCGACTCACTGCTCTGTTGGAAAAGGATGGGAGGAAATGCCAGGAGACTGGACATGGCCATACCCAGAGCACACAACCCACCTACCCAGGCCACGCCCCATCCATTCTTTGGACTCGCTGGGCTTTTCCTACACTGAGGCCAGTGATCAAGATGGCGCTGCCCAGGGGCGCCTGGGTGGCTCAGTCATTAAGCGTCTGCCTTCGGCTCAGGTCATGATCCCAGGGTCCTGGGATCGAGCCCCACATCGAGCCCCACATCGGGCTCCCTGCTCAGCGGGAAGCCTGCTTCTCCCTCTCCCCTCCCCCTGCTTGTGTTCCCTCTCTCACTCTGTCTCTCTCTGTCAAATAAATAAATAAAATCTTAAAAAAAAAAAAAAAAAAAAAAGATGGCCCTGCCCTAGGGGCTGGCACAAGGACGCCAGAGGGAGAAACTGGAAAGAACCTAAACCCTCAACCATGGGGGGGCAGCTTAGTGCTGTGGCTCTCCAAGTCTTGTCCAAAGGACCCCTGGGGGTCCCCGAGACCCTTTCAGGGAGTCCATGAGGTCAAAACAATTATCATAATCATACTAAGATGTCATATGCCTTTTTTTGCTGTGCTGACATTTATACCAATGGTGCAAAATAATGGTGGTAAAAGTGAAGGTGCCCATTAGCACAAATTAAGCCAGTGGCATCAAACATACTGGCAGCTACTGTAGTCTCTGTTGCCACAGTCTCAGTGGGGGGCCGGGAAGGAAGAAGAAACAAGCAAACCTAACACAGGAGATCAAACCTAGAATGTTCCCTCTTTTTTTTTTTTTTTAGATTTTGTTTGTTTATTTGACACAGAGAGAGAGCGTGCACAAGCAGGGGGAGCGGCAGACAGAGGGAGAGGGAGAAGCAGGCTCGCCACTGAGCAGGGAGCCCGACATGGTGCTGAATCCCAGGACCCTGGGATCATGACCTGTGCCGAAGGCAGATGCAGACGCTTAACCGACTGAGCCACCCAGGCACCCCAAACCTAGAATGTTCTTGATGAAGCAGTAAAAATTATTAATTTTTTTGAATCTCCATCCTTGAGTACATGGCTTTTTACTACTCTATGACAAGAAAGGAAGCACACATTCTGTGGCATTCCAAAGTATGACAGTTGTCTCAGGAAGAACACTTGTGTAATCCGAGTCTGGGGCTAAATTAGACACTTTTTCATGGAACTCTATTTTTACTTGAAAGAACGACTGACAGACATAACTATGGTTATTCAGACTTGGATGTCTGGCAGGCATTTTCTCAAAAATGAACAAAGTCAGCCTGTCACTTCAAGAAAAACAGCTAACGGTATTTGTTGCCAATGGTAAAATTCAAACTTCACAGCAAAAATTAGAATTTTGGAAAACTTGGATCTACCACTGTGTGCTTGATAGCTTCTTGATGTTGAAAGACTTCCCTGGTGAGATCAGTGAGGATATTAACAAATGTGACTTCCTGATATTGTATAATGAAATGTGTCAACATTCAGAAGATCTGTGTAACTCAGTGAACTGTATTTTCTAAATGACCAATGCATGATATCATAAAATGGATAAAAGATCCAAGTGAAGTTCAAGATACATCAATAGATTTTAATGTAATGTAATATGAAAAGTTCATTGATAGGCTTTTGGACTCCACACTACAAATCTTTAAGAAATTACCACCTGTCCACTTTTAGTATTTTAGCAAAGAAGGATCTGTACAATTTCCTGATTAAAGGACTCCTTTTCCAACCACATATCTATGTGAGTGAGATTTTCCTGCATATATTTCAACCAAAACATATCACAAAAGACTGAATGCAGAAGCACATATAAGAATCTAGAAGTTTTTGGGCGCCTGGGTGGCTCAGATGGTTAAGCGTCTGCCTTCGGCTCAGGTCATGATCCCGGGGTCCTGGGATCGAGTCCCGCATCGGGCTCTCTGCTCCTTGGGAGCCTGCTTCTCCCTCTGCCTCTCTCTCTCTCTCTCTCTCTCTGTCTGTCTCTCATGAATAAATAAATAAAATCTTAAAAAAAAAAAAAGAATCTAGAAGTTTTGGGGGCACCTGAGTGGCTCAGTCGGTTAAGTGTCTGCTTTTGGCTCAGGTCATAATCTCTGAGTCCTGGGAACGAGCCCCATATCAGGCTCCCTGCCTGCTTCCTCCCTCTCCCTCTCCCTGCGGCTCCCCCTGCTTGTATGTACTCTCTCTCTCCGTCAAATAAATAAAAATCTTAAAAAAAAAGAAAAGAATCCAGCAGTTTTCTATTAAGCAAGACATTAAAGAGATTTGCAAAAATGTAAAACAATGCTGTATTTCCTACTATTTTATTTTGTTTTAGAAAATGTATTTTTCATAAAAATGTTATTTAACATATAACTGGTTTATTACAGTGATTTTTAAGTGAATTCATAAATATCTTTAAATTATTCTGTTTTAATTTATAAAACAACTTAATCTATAATATGGCAAACAAATATTGATAGATAAAATCTGCATAAACAAAAGCTCTTTGATGTACTCAATAATTTTTAAGAGCATAAGAGGGCATGACACCAAAAAACTTGAGAACCATTGGGTTAAACAAATCATGCCACATGGGTATAATGGAATACTAAGCAACCACTAACAAGGAAGACAAACTCACAAGTAGATGACAATAATAAAAAGACAATATCTGTAAAGCACTTATGAGCCAGACACTATTCTAAGCTTTTTACATAGAACTCATTTAATCTTCACCACACTGTGAAATAGGAACTACTGTTATCCCCCCATTACAGTTAAGAAAACTAAGGCATGGGGCACCCAGCGGCTCAGTCAGTTAAGCATCCAACTCTTGATTTCAACTCAGGTCATGATCTCAAGGTCAAGAGATTGAGCCCCACATTAGGCTCTGCACTGAGTGTGGAGCCCGCTTAAGATTCTTTCTCTCCCTCTGCCCACCCCCCTGCCCCTGTTTGTGCGTACTCTCTCTCTCTCTCCCTCTCTCTGAAAGAAAGAAAGAAAGAAAGAAAGAAAGAAAGAAAGAAAGAAAGAAAGAAAGAAAGAAAGAAAGAAAAAAAAAAGAAAAAAGGAAGAAAGAACTAAGGCATGGAGGGGAAGTAACTGGTCCAGGGCTCCCAGCTAGTAAGTAGCAGTGATGAGTCTGACTTCAGAGTTCATGCTCTTGGCCATTATGCTATACTGCCTACACATAGTAAAATGCTAACAGTCTAAAGTAGGGGACAGAAAGGGGATTATAAGAGACTGTCACTTTCTAAATCACACACTGTAACACTGTCATAATTTTATGAGTGCAAATTTTATCTATAATCAGAGGAATAATGTAGTTCATAGTTTTAAAATGATGTCTAAATAGCATCCCTGGCACTCTAACTTCCAACCTGATTTTTTTTTCTATTAATACTTTTAACTACTTGACATTATATATTTTTTCAATTTTTTGTTTCTCCCACTAGAATGTCAGCTTCGTAAGGACAGGAATTTTGTCTCTTTTGTTCACTGCTGTATCCCACTGTTTACCACAGCACCTGGCACACTGTAGATACTCAGTAAAAATGACACAAATGAGTACCTATATGCACTGATGTGGCTAAATGTTTATGAAATATTGTTGAATTTTTTAAAAGCAGGTTAAAGAATACTTTGGGAAGTATACCAACTATATAAAATTGTATATCTGCAAATAAACACACACACATTTTCACAAGTAAACAAAGAAGTGGAAAAATGACTGGAGTGATTTTCACCAAAATATTAATAAAATATTACCAGGAATGAGTATTAGGAGTAGAGTGATTTTTACTCTCTTCTTTACATTTCTCTGTGACATGAATTTTCTACATGAGAGTAACTATCACTAGGATCAGAATAAACCACTTAACATTTGGGAAAGAAAAAGATAGCCCTGTCCCTTTAAGGGAAGAGAAAGTAGAGGGTCTTGCATTCATCAGATGGGCATCTACCTCCCCAGGGATCCAGAAAACAGAAACCTCCCCTGGTCCCCCAGCCCTGGCCCCTACCTGGGTGAGAGCCGACTCCAGCATGTTACAGAAGATATTGAACTGTTTGAAGTTCCCCGTCTTATGAGTCAGATCTTCAATGACTGGGTAGAGAGAAAAGTCCTTCCTGGGGTCTAACCACTTGCCCAGCCCAAGATCAATGCATCTAAGCTTTTCAACTTTCCCCAACTCCAGTGCCTCTGGCCTGAGGGATGAGGCCTCCACTCCCCCTCCCCACCTCAGAGAGTCTCTGGTCAGGTAGAAGAGGCAGATGGGCAGGTTCCGAGCTGGTCTCATCTTCAGGGAGAAGGTGATCCCAGGGAAGGACAGGTGAACCCACCCCAGGCCGGCACACTCACAGCTGGCATCGAACTCGCCCCGCCACTGATCAGCCGTCATCCGGTCCTCCACTTCCAGCTCTAGCACCTGTCCAGACACCACCAGCCGCACAGCATGCTCCACACCCCGGAAGATGTAGTCCACCTGCAGGCCAGCTGGCTGGTCCATGGCCGGTGTCACTGGAGAAAGGGAGGAGACAGAGACCCAGAGGGGCTGAGAGCCCAGGCTCGGAAGCAGGAAGGCCAGAATTCATATCCTGGCTCCACCATTTACCAGCTTTGGCACCTTACGAAAGAAACTCCCTCTCTGTGCCTCAATGTCCTCATCTGGAAAATGGGTATAATAGTGGTTATCTATCTCACAGAGCTGTCATGAGGATTAAATTGGACAATACACATAAAAGCATTTTGAACTGTGTCCATGCCCAACACATGCTGGCTACCAGAATATATGATATCTGACAAGAGAATCATGATTAATATCATTATTAATTTATTAATCCTTACACTCATTATATATTAATTATTCATTCATTCATTCAAACATTTGTGGAGGGGCACCGGGGTGGCTCAGATGGTTAGGCGTCTGCCTTCAGCTCAGGTCATGATCCCAGGGTCCTGGGATCGAGCCCTGCATCAGGCTCCCTGCTCCGCGGGAGGCCTGCTTCTCCCTCTCCCACTCCCCGTTTGTGTTCCCTCACTCGCTGTATCTCTCTCTGTCAAATAAATAAATAAAGTCTTTTAAAAAATTTTTTTGTGGGGAAAAATCAAGCTGCATAGAGGGACAGAGAGTACTGAGGTCAGGCAGGGCAGATTTTAGGTAGGGGGTCAGGGCAGGCCTCCCTGAGGAGGTAACCTACAGGCAGAGAACTGAAGGAAGGCAGGGAGCATGCTAAATGGCTATCTAGGGAAAGTGGTCCAAGTCGAGAGAACAGCAGCACTATGTATTATCAATGATACACTTAAATCATGTCCAATGAATTAATAATCTATTTTATTAATTGGCCTGTTGTAAGCCTAAGTACCTTCTCTTAGGCAATAGGGCTACGACTCGCTGTTAGTTCTATGAGGTGGAAGAGAGGAGCAGATCTCTGCCTTCAGCCTGGATTTTAGGGGATGATTCAGAATGAGAGCCCCGGGTCGCCCGAGTTCATATCTAGCTTTAGCTATGTGCACATACACAGGCAAGTTACTTAACCTCTCTTGGAGCCAGATTCCTTATCTTTAAAGCACATGCCATCCTGGGTGCTGGGGATATGATGAGAAACCAGATTATGCCCCTACTCTCAAGAGGGCGGCAAAAGTCAGAGGTATAAAATGTCAAAAAAAAAAAAAAAAGGGAAGTAGGGGCGCCTGGGTGGCTCAGTCGTTAAGCGTCTGCCTTCAGCTCAGGTCATGATCCCAGGGTCCTGGGATCGAGCACTGCTTCAGGCTTCCTGCTCAGCGGGAAGCCTGCTTCTCCATCTCCCTCTCCTCCTGCTTGTGTTCCTCTCTCGCTGTGTCTCGCTCTGTCAAATAAATAAATAAAATCTTAAAAAAAAAAAGTGAAGTAGTGGAAAAAGGAGATGCTGGGGGTAGGGGTTGCTCTTTCAGCTAAGGTAGCCAGGGAAGGCCTCTCTCAGGAGAGGCCTAGAGAGGGGTAAGGAGATGGGTGAATATCTGGGGGAAGAGTATCCAGACAAAGGGAACACCCAAGCGAGAGCTCCAAGGTGGAATGTTCCTGATTTCTTCTAAGAACAGCAAGGTCAGCATAAGGGAGGGACCTAGATGAGATATAATGGGCCAGATGATGCTCATGCAGGTCTCTGTAAGCCCATAGAAGGGTAACAGTGCTCATCTCCTTGGATTGGTGTAAGGATTCAATGAGTTAATCGCATTAAAATCCTTGAACAAATTGAGCAATGCCTGACACACAGCAAGCACTCATATACATACTGGCATTATTATCATTATCATTATCATGATTTCTTTGTTGTTGTGTCTTGAAAGGCAGTACAGAAACAAGGCAAGCCCATTTTTCTTCCCAGTGTACAGATGGGGAAACTGAGACTCAGTGGAGTCCCACAGCTGCCCCCAAAAGAGATCTACCGAGGGCTGCCCTAAACCAGATCATGGGGACCCCTCCAAAGCCTGGTCTCCTTCACTCCACCACATCCTCTGCTCCTCACACTTTCCCCAAGAAGTCCTCCTAAAGGCTGATATCAGAAAATATAATATTGTGAGGCCAGAAAATGATGAGCCCTGAAACTCAAGGTCAGTGGTTTTTAACCTTTTAAGAGTCTTTGCACCTTTGATAGTCTAGTGAGATCTCTGAACCCTCCCCAGATAAATGAATAGGCCCACAACCCTTTGCAAATAATTTCAGGGGCTCCCAGAATACCACCCTGAGGCCCATCCACACATCCCCTTTCTCAAAGACCCAAGGACAATCGCCAAAGCCCCCAGACATTCTGGCAGGCTCCTCTGTCTCTAGACCCAAGCTCTTAAATTTATTTGGGAGAGGGGTCTCTCGTGTTTGGAAGTGGCTGATGAAATCGAGACCTCTTCCCCTTGAAAATCCACTCTCACAATTAGGTACTCTCACATTCTCTGTAGGTTCAGAGGTGGGGTTAATAGTCCCTGACCTATAGGCAAACAAACAGCTACACGTTTCAGCATATCTCACATCCCCTGGTCCTCAGTGTGGGTGCCAGGCAGCGCTGGCCCCGCCCCACCGGGTATCCTAGACACCGCCTCCGACCCCGCCCCCTCCAGCTCCGCGAGCCAATCAGCAGTCGCGCCGTTCTGGTTACCAAGGCGTTGGAGGTACCTGCAGAACGCCTGAGGAGCCGCACAGCTTCACTGCCCAACTCCAGGGAGGAGAGAGGACTAAAGGGGCCCGTCCCACCCCATCTCCACCACCAACCCTGCCCTGCTCTCCTCCTTGCCCACTTCCCCGCATAAGCTCCCCATTCTCTTCCAGAGAATAGCAGCCCTTCACTAAATCACAGGGCCTTTCCGTATCCAACTGCCCTGATGTCATTAGCCTCCATCTCAGTCCCCAGATATTAAGCCTCTGAATATTCCCCCCGAATTCCATTGTCCCCTTACACACAACTGCCTCCCACACCTCCACAAACTTCGCCCGCTCCCCTCCCCTCATCCCCTCTTCTCAGCTTGTCGTGAGCACTCAACACTTGCTGATGAAATAAACCCCACACCTCGGCCAGCTCCCCATCACTCATTCCCCAGAGGGCCTAGAGTTTCTGGACTCCCTTCCCCTCCCCGCTGCAGAACCTCCCTCCCTCCATATTCCCGCCTCACCCCTTCTACCACGTTCCCGAAACCAGCCCTCTCCACCCCCTTCCCCAAGTCCCTTACTGCCATTCGGCTCTCCCAGATTGGGGGCAGGGGGCCACATTCCCCTTCTCTGTACACCAGCCCCCATGTTCTCCTGGGGTTTCCCCCATATTCTACCTGAATTTTGCTCCCTCCTATTATTCTGCCTGCATATTCGCCCAAGGTTCTACTCCACAGTGGGGATCTACCCCATTCTCAGCCTGTCTTACATTATCCCCATATTTCACCTGGATTCTGTTCCCTCCCAAATTCTATGTAAACCCTCTCTCCCCCTCCCCACATTTTCCACCTCTCTTCCCTGCAGAGCCTTCCCAGGACAGCCCCCCCACCCAATTCTGGGATTCCCCAGGCCCCGCGCCCCTCCCTCCTTCCACGCCCCCCCCCCTTGTCCTTCTACCTGCATCCTCCATCCTTGCTCTGTGACCAGTGGCCCATCCTGGTTGCTGGTTTCGTTCCAGTCCCAAGACTCTCCTAGCTCCTCTGCGTCTCAGCTTCTAGACCCTGCATTCGAGGCCCCGCCCTCGCCAACCCGTGACGTCAGCACTTCAACCTTGCGAGCTCCGCGTGCACACCCCAGCACCCCACTCTGGCCCACACACCTGATCCCATTTCTCGGGCCTCGTGACATCACGGCTTCAGCACACACGCACATACACGTACGCATACGCACGCGCGCGCGCACACACGCACAAGCACACTCAGCTTTCCGACCCCGGGGCCTTTCCCTCTCATCTTTCACTAAGGTGACTCCCCTCTCGGTTTCCAGGGTTACATCACGGTCCCTGGCTCCTCCTCCTCCCAATAGCGCTCCCTGAATATTTCAGACTTCGCAGCCCTCGCCCTAGGGTGGAAGCTGAGAATCCTCCACGCTGGGCTCCCCCAAAACAAATCCACATCACCATCTCCCACACAGGACACGGGTAAATCACCACTTCTGTCAGCCCCCACTCCTGATGGCTATTTCGCAGTCTGCATCACCCTCTCCCGCCAACACCCCATATTTCAGCCTGGCCATGACCTAGCTGGCCTCTCCTATACAGTATACCCCCCACCTCACATACATACACTGGCCTGGCCGGAGTGACCCCTCCCCGCCATGTGAGTGAGTTTTAGCTGGCTAGAATTCCCCTCCCTTCACTCTGCACTCCCCAGAATATAGACCAGAGCCTTCCACACTGTCCCCCTGGAATATATAAACACAAAAACCTTTAAGGACTCCCCATGATCTGCCCCTCCATAGTGTACACTATAGCCCACCCCCCCCCCAGGAATATCCAAACCTCCCCCCTACTATCCCTCAAACAGGACTACACACATCCATCAACCAGTGACTTGTCCTTAATTCTGTTCTCTGGTAGATGCTGTAACCATCCCCCATTTTACAGAGGATGAAACTGAGATATGCCTAGAATCCTGAAGTGAGGGGCTTCCCATTACCCAGCTACCCTTCTGTTTCCTCCCATTACTCTCTGCTCCTTTCCCTCCAGGCACCAGTCCTTATGTGTGGCCTCGGACCTTAAACATGACACACACTGCGGGAAAGGGACTCCTGGGTTCAGCTCCTGCTCCACCACTTACCCACAATGTGACCCACGGCAAAGCGCTTAGCCTCTCTGGGTTTTTCCCACCAGTAAAGTGAGGATAATAAGAGCGCCCATCTCACATAGGATGATTGTGGGGATTAAATTAATTAATACATGTAAGGAGTTTCAAACAGTGCCTGGCACCTGGTCAGCTGTTTACCATCTGTGCAACTAGCTGACGATTAGTTGACAGACCAGAAGCCCAAGAGGGCAGAGCCATTTTGATCATTCTTGTATTCTTCAGCACCCTGGGCCTGGCACAGATCAGGGACTACTTGTGAATTTATGCGAGATGCCAGGAAACGGGGTTCTAGGCACTGGAGATACAGCCAAGGTCCTCTCCCCTCAGCTCACTGCTTTGTCATCAGGTCCCAACTCCAATGTCCATTCCCACAGGAAGCCCTCCCTGACTCCCAGGCTAGGTAAAGAGCTGTTTCAATCACCAGTGTCCCCGGCACTGCTTGGCAGAGGGGCAGCCCCAGAGTCCAAGCTCCGAACTGGTCTGTTTCTTCGAGAGGACTGCAGACCTTCAGCATGAACACGGGTGCTTGACTTAAAAAAAATGCAGGATCTTGGGCATGATCCCAAATCTACAGAAGCAGAACCTCTGGGAGTGGGCCCAGGAATCTGCATTTCCTCTGAGATCTGAGAGCTTCTGCCCCTGGATATCCTTCTGTTTCCTCCCAGTTTATTACCCCATCTTGACCCCACCACCCCACCCAAGACTCTCCCAGCTCAACAACCCTGCCCTATACTACAGGGAGCCTCCCCCCGCCCCCCGCCCAGAAATGGTGATGCTGACGGTGTAATACAAGTAACACTTTTTAAGCATCTATGGGTCCTTCTAGGTGCTAAGCTCTATATTCTCATGGAGTCAACACTCTAGTGGGGGGTGGGAGTCTAAGAAGCCAGGGGATATAAACAAACCCTAATATATGTTGGGTACTGGTAAGTGTTACTGAAGAAAAGCAAAACCAGGTGATGAGGCGCCAGGAAATAACAGGAGCTATTTTGGCTTGGGTGGTCAGAGAGGGCCTGTCTGTGGATTTGACATTTGAACAGAGACCTAAGGAAGTGAGGGAGAAGCCATGTAGACATCTAGAGGGAACATGATCCAGACGGAGGGCACAGCAATGACACTCCCCAGGTGGGAATGTATTTGCTATGTCTGAAGAACAAGGAAGCCAGGGTGTGTCAACAGGGGAGAATGGCAGGAGTTGAGGGCAGGCTGGAGGGAGAACTGGATAAGGTGGAGCACTATGAGCTTGGCAAGGACTTATACTGTGTGAGGTGGGAGCCACGGGAGTGCCTGGACCAGGGAGTAACATGATCTGACTTTTGTTTCAACAGGAACCCCCAACTGTGGGGTCCAGGGCAGAGGCCAGCGAGGAGGCCACTGCAACAGACCAGGTAAGGGCAAGTGATGGCATGAATCAGAGCAGCAAGGGAGGTGGTGAGATACAGCTGGATTCTGGAAGTGTTCTGAAGATAGACCCATGAGATTTGCTGACTGGCGGATGGCATGCAGGAAAGGGAAAAGGGAGAGTCAAGGACAACTCCAGGATTTTTGTCTTGAGTACCTGGAAGAATAGAACTGCCATCAGCTGGGTTTGGAAGGGGGAAACTACAAGTTTGGTTAGGGACAAGTTTTTAAAGCATGGATGTCAGTTGGACTTCCAAGTAGAGAAGAGTCAGCCATTGGACAAATGAGTCTGGAGTTCAGAGAGATCCAGACTGCAGGCCGGCACTTGGGAGTTATCATTATATAAAGAGCATGTGAAGCCAAGAGACTAGGTGAGTGGTACAGACAGAGAAGAGATGAGGTCATTCTAAGATGCTAAAAGCTGAGGCACAGAGGGTTAAAGAATTTGCCCAAAGCCACCCTGACGTTCAGTGGCAGGGCCAGTGGCAAAGCCAGCATTTAAGCTCAGGCAACCCAACTCCAGAGCCCACAGTCTTAACCACCGGGAGGGGTGTTAGGAAGTTTAAGAGTAACTCATACAAAACTTGGCACATAGTAAGCCCTGAGTAAACGCTGCATGTATCATGTGGCTTCACACCTCCCTAAAGCACACCTCCATCCTCGAAGTCCTCACTCATTCTCTCCCTCCGTAGTGCTTCACCTGCCCTCCACCCACATCAAAGCTTGTAACTCATCCCAAGGACCTCCGCTCCTCCACACCGCGCTACAATAACCCCTCGCCTCAAAACCTCCCATTAAATCACAAGGCCATATTACAGGGGAATTTCTGTATTTTACCGCCTGCTGTCTCCAGCTTTACACACTTTCCCCCATTAAAGACCCTCCTGCAAGATACAAAACATCTCCCCCCACCCCCGACTCAGATACTGCCCTCTGCCTCACAAACCCACGTCAAAGTGCCTACCCGTGTTAAAGGTCACCCCTCCCGATTCCTACACTGCCCGGTCAGCTGCCCGCCGCAGCCCACCCTCCCCCAGAGCATCCCCTCCCCCCAGGATCCCCACCCTGGCCCGCGCACCCGCCACTCCCGCCGCCTCTCACCTTCTCCACAGACACCCCTCCTCGCGAGCTGTTCAACTGCCGAAGCTCCAGCCCCGCCCCAGGATCCGGCCTTCTCGCTTCTGACTGGCCCTGGCTTACTCGCAGACAAGTTCTCATTAGTCAAAACAGACGCCCGTCACTCCGTGTCCCGCCTCAGAGACGAACCCGCCTTCCAAAGCTTGCAATTGGCCAACTCGGATGAGAGATTCCTACATGGGCCTGGTCGTCGGTCTTCTCTCCAATCATGACTGGCTAATCCCTACTGCCAGTCATGCAAAGCGGGTTGTTCCTCGGAGGGGGAGGAAATCCTGGAAGTAGCCCCTTGACTCCGCCCATCACCCCCTGCAGCGGACTAGACGCGCCCACGAGGGGGGGCGGGCTGAAAGAGAGTCGGCGGCACATGCGCACAGGAAGGTCTTGGCCGCCGCGGGTCCGGAAGCT